GGACTGAAATCTAAATTTTCTTTAGTTAGTTTCTTATTTAACTGATAGTATGTCCACCTTAAAATTTTGGTTGTGCCCGTCCATTCAAAAATTTTGTGTTACTAACCTATGTGTGCCCATCCTAAAAAAGTATTTCTAAATCCGCCACTGCTCTTATATAATGTGACTGATTCTTATGAAACAATAAAAAAACTAAATCAAAGTTGTTGTTTTTATCAAAACCCTAAAGGATTGTCTCTTTATAAGTCCTAACTCCTCTAATCTCCCTTCAACGAGTTGAACTATCGATCTGAAACACAAGATTTTGATACCAGAGCCTACAATCCTCACTTAGACTCTCGATACGATTACGTTGACAGAGGAAACTATTCAAGAAGCACTACTTCAGCGCATCGACAGCTTGTTTGATCAATGGCGTTCTAAATGGAGAAAATGAAATTTTGTGCAAAGAAGCAGAAATCAAGAAAATGAGAACATGAAGACACTATATCTAAACAAAACCAACCCATATATAGCAGCCCCTAACAATGTATTTTCTTTGTCCAATACGTCAAGCCCTTCGGTAACTTAGAATTAGGGCCGTAAATGAGACGAGATAGATCAAGAGTTATTCGATATCGATTCAATACTCGAATCAAATGGGTTCGACTCGAATTCTTAAAGAGCCGAAACGAGTTACTCGATGCTCGACTTGAAAAGCTCGTGAGCAACTCGAAAAATAATATATCAATTTTTTAGATTTTTTGAACAAATTATTAATAATATTAGCATCATATGTATTTTTTAAAAATACAATACAAGGCTTTCGTGTACTTAAGACTCGGGTTCAAATTCAAGTCGAGCTTCAATTTCTGATTTTGAGTGGGACTTGAGAATTTTAAGCTCGCGAGCTTTTGAGTCGAGTCGAGTCGAGCTTTAATTTCTTTTTTATTTCAAGCTCGCCAATTTTAAGCTCACGAGCTTTTTAGTCGAGTCGAGCTTTAGTTTTTTTATTTCAAGTTCGCGTCAAGCTCGACAATTTTAAACTCACGAGTTTTCGAGTCAAGTCAAACTTATTTTTAAAGTTTTTGAGTTAAGTCGAGCTCAACAATACTCAAGCTCGACACCCGCGGCTCGTTTATAGCCTTACTTACAACCTGTCATTTTACATACACGATCCAAAAAGCTTACAACTTCATATGAAAAATGTTTAATAGGTCTACAATTGCTGGGTTGTTTTTGAACATATTGAATGCCGAGGAGAAGTTTGAAGAGATTTCAATGGTGCCACTCAGTGAGAATAAGTTTATGGAGGCATATGATCCTTATCGATTTCAAGCTATTAGGAATGGAAGGAATCTTTACCCGAGTTCATCCAGCTACATGCCTGAGGACAATATCTTCTAAGGTGGCGTTTGGTTGGTATGAATCTCTTGGAATTAGGGAGAATTGGAATCCAATTCCACCACTTTCCCATGTTTGGTTCAAGTTTTCCAAGGGAATTAGAATCCCTCATGGCTTCAACTTTCCATCAAATGAGGGAAAGTGAATTCTATCAATTCTATTATGGAATTCAATTCCCTTGTTGGAGGGAATTGAAATTTGACCATACTACCCTCATCAATCTTTTGGTAACTTATTCATATATTGAATAATTTTTTTTTTATTTCGGGTCGGGTTTCTAATTCATATATTCGGGTCGGGTCGGGTCTCGGATGGAGGTTCCCTTGTTCTCGGGTCGGGTAGGGTGGACCAAAAACCCGACCCAACCCGACCCATGGACATCCCTAATTGGGATAATTTTAACTTATGATGTTTATTAGCATGATTTTTATAATTTATTGAAATGAATAATCAATCAATAAAATTAATTTTTTTTTTAATTTTAATAATATATTGCTACATGTAATTTATAAAACAAACTAAAATTAAGCAAAAAAATAAGAAAGGCAATCCTGTCATTTTACATTACTGAAATCAAATTCATCTGACATGTCTGCGAACCAAACAAAATATGGAATTGAATTCCAATTCAATTTTCTGCCAACCAAACAGAATATGGAATTGGATTCCAATTCCTGACAGATTACAATTCATTCACAGATTTCAATTCCCTCATAAACATTCTAGCGAACCAAACGCCACCTAAGAATCCTAAAGTTTCAGTCTCCCTTTGATAGCTGAAATGTTATAATCTCCCTTTGACAAGCTGAACTTAGGGAGCGTTTGATCGAGTCAAATAAATTTTTTTAAGTTATTCGAGTTGACGAGTCTTGTTTTACAACTCAAAGTTGACGTGAAATTTTTTCGAGTCGAACTTTTGAGTTTCTATTTAAATTTAATTGTAAATGTTTATAATATTATGATATTATTTTATTCCAATTTAAATGATTTTTTATAACCATACATAATACACATATATATTTCTTCGTATTTTTTATATGTGTACACACATATCATACAAATTTGAGAGACTCGACTCAAACTTAAAAATTAATCCACTAATTACTAAAAAATTTAAGTTATCAAGTTGTATTTTATAACTCGGTTTGAACTTGAAACTTGTTCGAGTCGAGTTAAAAAAATCGAATTTTCAAGTCTAGTTAAGTTTTGTTCACCCCAAGTTGAATTATCAATCCAAAACGCAAGATTTGTGACAGCTTCTCAAGATGAATCTAGAGGCATAAACAAGATACATATGCTCGTCAACAATTCAGATTCTACCGAGCTCCACCGTAAATAATTGAATTTGAAAACAAGCTTAGTTAAACCTAACTGAGTGAGCCCGAGCTCCTCAAATTTTATCTTCAGTCATATTTCAGCTCTAAAAGTGAATCTCTGCTGAGCTTGAGTGAGCTAAAGCTTCTTACAGCATTAAATCGGCTCAGCTCAGCTCAATTATATGCCTAATTTTATCGAGTTCATTCGATTCAAGAGTTAACTGAGCTTTAATCGAACCGATCTCGAGTAGTTAATGACATATCTCATCTCATTTACCGCCCTACTTCTTTGCCCATCATGCCCAGAAGTTGTCTTATTATCTTCATAAAAAGATATAATAATTCAATGACCAGGCAAATCAGTTTTTGGCGTCTTTAACATGTTTACTGGCTAAAAACCATGTTACTCGTGGTGGGAAGGTGGCAGATAACTATATGACTTCTAACAAATGGCAACTCACAGGTTCAAGTGTTGACCAACAAATTCCAGAGAAAGGAACATCACGAGCAAGCCGCGCTCCCATGCCAGTCCATAACAGGGTTGTAATTAAGACTAGACAGATCATGAACTATTCGAGTTTGATTCGTTAAATACTTGATTCGATTGAACTTGAGTTGAGCTCGAATTCGACTCGAGTTCATAACGAGCCGAAACGAGTCACTTGATACTTGACTCGAAAATCTAAAGAGCAACTCGAAAAAAAAATATATTAATTTTAAAAAAATAAATTATTAATAAGATTAACATTTATGTGTTGTTTTTTTAATGCAATATAAGATTTTCACGTACTTAAGGTTCAGTTCAAGTTTGAGTTTTAATCAAGTTAAGTTTAAATTATTTTTTTATTTCAAGCTTTTTCGAGCTTAAATTCATGATTTCGAGTTCGAGTCGAACATGCAGATCTAACGCTTGTGATCTTTCGAGCCGATTCGAGCTTCAATTTAAAGTTTTCGAGTCAAGTTGAGCTCAACAAAACTCGAGCTCGACTCGACTACTTTACATCCCTAGTCCATTAGATGAGATTGCCTTGCGCTGTCAAAGTAACTATCAGAAAATCAGGATCTCTTCTTTCTCTGGCCTGTATCTGGTCCATTAGATGAGATTACAAGCGTTGTTAACTTTCTACGTGCCATACTTCTACAGTAGCAAGAGTTCAAAGGAAAGAAAACAATTAAAGCTTAAACCTCATAAACCAGTTTCTTAATTTGATGTGAACTCAGACATCTAAAACTATTTGATCAGAGAAAAATAAGACTACCTAGTAAACACCTTCACCGCAGAATAGGCCTTTTTTTACGCCTATAAAGTCATTTTAAAGCGCCGCTAAAAGCATTCCTAGCACAACAAAAAACGCCACAAGAAACACCGGGTATACAAACGCCACAACGGGTAGCAGCGTTTTACATCAACAAACGCCGCAAAAAGTCCTGTTCTGTAGCGGCATTTTTATAAAAACGCCGCCAAAAGTATTCTTTAGCAGCGTTTTTCGAAAAACACCAAAAAAAAGTCTTATTCTTTAGCAGGGTTTTGCAAAAACGCCGCAAAAGGGACTTTCTATAACAGCGTTTTCGACGAAAACGCTGCTAATACTGATATATATAGTGGCGTTCTGTACAAACGCCGTAAAAATCACGTTTGTTAGTGGCGTTTTTTTATTAAAACGCCGCTTATTTTGTACCCAATTAGTGGCGTTTTTCATCCTAAAATGCTGCTAATCGCAACTGATTTTCGAATTATTTTTTTCTTACTTTGTATACCCAAAATTAACCTATAACAATATGAAATAACAATCTTGAAATATAATTATGCTTCAAATAAAGTGAAAATACATAAAATATAAATAAGTCAAAGTTTACAAACATCCAACTAAAATGTAATGTAATTCAATAATATTCGCAAGAATAAGCAAAGTATTAACCTAAGAAACTCAAGCCAATGGCCAACCGATGGGTCATGAAAACTCTAAAAGAAATGGGAATGTTAACATCTGAGGTTATGAGCTAGTATCATCAATAGATTAAGTACTTTTGGAATTTTAGGACATAGCAGATAGAAACACAGGCAGAAGAATATATATATATATGGCCTAGGATCCAATTATATAGTGTAAAATTAAAAAGTTTCACACTTTTTAGGAGATTAACATTGGAAAAAAGAGAGAGTTAATCTCAGCCTTTGATTTCCCCTCATCCAACGATCCAAAAAGGGTGTAAAACTAAAAGTTTTATACTAGGTGTAAGTGGATCCTAACCCTCTATATATTTATTGTTGGGGAAACCAGAAAAAAAATGGAACCAGATATTGAGGAGATTAACTTACAACTGCTCTGACGGTTTGTTCCCTTGATATTGGAGAGGAATCCTAGAAGGGTACTAAAAACTCCAGGAAGCTTCTTTCTGATTTGAGTGATCTTAAATGTCTCTGATTGAAAAAGAAAACTGAAAAGGATTAGACAACACAATCAAACAGGTATTTACATTTTTTTAGAGACAAATAATAGAGAAATATCAAATTTTAAGAAAGACCATTAGCCTCCTTTTGTTAAATAGAAATAAAAACACATATATAGCATTAAATAATAGCAATACTGATGCAATCACTTTTACAATGATAATAACAGTTACAAGAACTAGAACTTGAGCTGACATCAAAATTACCTGCATGCGTGTTGTTCTCGCAAGCTCAATCGGGTAGCATGTTGCACTTGCTATTGATCTAGCCAATGAGCCAGCAACCAAAGGAACATATGGAGTTGCATCAGGGACAGGCATATGTTCTATTGCACGCCCCTCCATCCAGTTGCGGAATATGTCATAGCAAGGTAAATAGATTCCCACCTGTACAGAATGTGAGAAATCACCACAAAAGCTTTACAAATATCTACTACAAGTGTTAAGGGTGAGCATACGATTGAGTCGAGTCGAGTAAAATTTCGAGTTATTCAAGTTGACGAGTCGTATTTTACAACTCGAACTTAACTTGAAATTTTTTTCGAGTCGAGTTATTCGAATTTCTATACTAATTTTATTAGAATTATTTATAGTTTTATGACAATGATTTGTTCCAATTTTTTTACTTTCTTTAACCATAAATATATATATATATGGTTATATGTGTGTGCGAGTGCGCGTGTAACATTATAATGTTATTTAATATATCAAGAAGAATCTAAAATTATGAAATATATTCATAATATTATATTTTAAAGAAATTATTTTAAGGGTAAAATTTTGATGAGAGTATAAAAGAGTCAAGGAATTGATAGGAAGAAAGAATTTGCAAAACACTGTAGTCAAAAGACCAAATTGAGTAAAATGTAAAGTTAAGGGACTAAATAAAAAGAGAGTACAATTTTAGTAAAATAAAGTAAGAATTGAAGTTATATAGGTATTCTATTGTGGTATATGAATACGTGGTTCAAATTTGATAAAAAAATAGACTTAAAATAAAGGATGAATTGAAAAAATAAGGAAAATATAAAAAATTAAGAGACTAAATTGAAAAATAAAAAAATTGTTATAAAAAAGAGGAATTGAAAAGTACATATGTATTATAAGATGGTTTATGAGCATGTGGTTCAAATTTTGGTAAAAATAAACTTAAAATGGAGGTGTAATTGAAGGAATATTGTAACAAGAGACTAAATCATAAAAATGTCAAAATAGTTATTCAAATGTTTGGTTTTTCTAGTAACGAGAAATTTCAAAATTTTAATTCGACTCAAACTCGAAAACTGAATTTATAATTCGAGTTGACTTGAATAACTTGATTCGAATAACTCGAAATTGATTTTTTTCGATTTTCAAATAGAATCGAGTTTAGCTCACACCTAAAAGTGTACCCAAAATACTTTCTATGACTGGATAACTAATCGAAAGAGGAACTCACAGTTGGTACTGCCAATGCCAGACCTGCATTAGTCCCTCTCCACAACCTAGAAAATCCCTCCTGTAGAACATTCTCTATTAGGTGGTTGAAAACAGTGGAAAACACAAAGGGAAGCACCTAACATACAACACTCGGGTCATGACGAGCACTACACACCGACCTGGCGAATTATCTTGTTGAAGACATCGAATGTTCCTTTGTACTGAAAGATGGTGATTGGTGAACATCTTAAATCCGCGAACATCTAATCCAAAAATCAAAGATGGCAAAATTTAGTACAAATCTAACACCTAAATAGAAGGATTAAAAGAAGACATAAAAATTTCATCATTAATAGAAATGCACCCATACTGTGTTTGGCCCAAAATCTGCTATTTGACCAATCGGATTACATAGCATTGTTTCAAAACGACATTCAAACAGTGAAAGAATCAATCCTATGAACACTTGAATAACAAACAATCAGGCGAACAAGAAGTGAAATTTTAATAAAAAGAAAACGCGTATCGATTATCATTGCAAACATCGAGAGGATTAACGATGATTGCGGTCAAAAAGGCAGCACCGGCGGCAGAGAAAGCCCGGTCTCCTATACCTGGATTGGAATTGGACGCATCGTCATTCTTCTGACGCTGAGGAGCACAGAATTCACTCCCGTGTAGATAGGTTATCATTGGTTCCGTGATGGACAAATCGTGACCGTTGATTTCACATCTCGAATATTTGGTCAGATCTCAGCCACTGAATCTTTGTTCGTTGCACTCCATTTCTTTCTTCTTCTCCATCGGCAATAAGTGTGGAAGCAGAATCAACCACGAACTGATTCCTAGATAATCAAATATCACGCCATCTTAGCTCCTTGGGGAAGAAGGAAATTACAAAATAAAAAAAGAGAGGAGGGATTTCCTTTGTTTTGGCGAAAAGGAAAAGAGAGACAAACAAGACCTCACATTTTTGGCGTTCGGTATTATGCGCTTCAAACAAGGAGATTACAAATATTGATAATTAGTACAACTATATGCTAATGTTTAAAGTAAAATAATATATAAATGAATAAATGTTAATTATTTAATGTATTTCTAAATATTTATAATTGTATTAAAATTTATTAATCATTAAAATATAATAAAAAATCTTTATGTCAAATTAAAAAGTAGGGTAAAGAACGCAAATGGTCCCCCGATTACAGGGTACTACTCTATTAAGTCCCTCGGCTATTAAAAGTTACATAATGGTCATTTGAATATAGAGTGTTCCTTTGTTGAGTTCCTCGACTATTAAAAGTTACAAAATGGTCATCCGACTATTCATTATGCTTCAAACTTGTTCTTTTTCGTTAAAAAATTGGTGTATGTTTAAGTTAGATGTTAACATTATGACTGGAATATGATAGTCGTTTGAGATTTTTGGATCAATTTTTTTCATATCACATTCAATAAGTTTAACTGATAGTATCTTCTATTTTTTAATTGAAATGATGAGTTTGTAACATAATGAATAGTTGGATGATCATTTTGTAACTTTTAATAGCTGAGGGACTCAACAAAAAACACTCTTTATTTGAAGGACCATTTTGTAACTTTTAATAATTGAATGACTTAATAAAGTAATATCCTATAGGCGAGAGACCATTTACGTTCTTTACCCTAAAAAGTAAAAAAGTAAAATAAATTTTACTTTTAGAATGATGATTGGAGTTGGGATTATAAAAGATGATTTTTTGGGGAGAAAATGAAATTTGAAGAGAGTGAAAATAATAACATTGTGAAAGTTCAAGATTAAATTATAAATTAACAGTTTTAGTAATGTTTATTTTTTTTTAAGACAACATTTTTAATAATCATTATTATAAAAGTAACACTTTATTCATATATTATATTAAAATCATTATTATAAAAGTAACATTATTAATAAAAATTTCAATAGATAAAATGGATAAATATTCATTTATATTTTATATTAATTTAGATTACATTTTTATTGAAAATTAAATTATTAAAATTTATAAATAAATAGTATATTAATATAAAATATTTCACTTAAATAAAAATATTTAAATACATTAATCGAAGTAGGGGTGAGCAAAACTTAATTTGACTTAAAAAATAATATTTTTAACTCGATTCAAATTGACTCGACCAGTGTGTTATAAACTCGAATAGAAAAAAATTTCAAATTCAAGTTTAGTTATAAAATAGAACTCAAATGACTCAAAATTTTTATTAATTAGTGGATTAGTTTTCAAGTTTAAGTCAAGTTCATGTATATTACATGTGAAAAATATGAAAAAAAATATATATGTATTTTTATATGATTATAGAAAACCCAATAAATTAGAGTAAAATAGTACCGTAATATTATAAATGTTTAAAACTAAATTTAAATAAAAACTCTAACAACTCGACTTGAGTCGAAAAAATAAAATAAAATTTGAGTTATAAAATAAGACTCGTAAATCGAATAATTCAATTTTTTTTAATTTGACTTGACTAACCCTGATTAGAAGAAAACTTGTAGGTATTAATTATGAACTAGAATATGTATTTCTTGTTTTGACACCGAAAGCTTGTAGAATATCCTTCATATTCCACAAATTTCTTGTTCTGACACCAAAGCCTTGGTATCAACGTCTGTATCGTTGTTGTGTTATAAAATGGGGCGCACGATCAGCAGTGAGATAAAGCAAGCAAAAGCAATGGCCTCAGGCAACAATCTAGCGGTGCTCGAAGCTCTCGACACGGCCCAGACGCAATGGTACCATGTGAAAGCCATCGTGATCGCCGGCATGGGATTTTTCACCGATGCTTATGATCTCTTCTGCATCACAACCGTGTCCAAACTCTTGGGCCGCCTTTACTACTACGATCCTCATGCAAACAAGCCGGGAAAGCTCCCACATGGCATTAACAACTTGGTCACCGGTGTAGCCTTGTTCGGGACTCTCAGCGGCCAACTGGTGTTCGGTTGGCTCGGTGACAAACTCGGCCGGAAGAAAGTGTATGGGATTACTCTCATCCTCATGGCGTTTTGCGCCATATGCTCGGGACTATCGTTTGGAGCCACCTCCGGTTCTGTGATCGGAACACTTTGTTTCTTTAGATTCTGGCTTGGTTTTGGCATCGGCGGCGATTATCCGCTTTCAGCTACAATCATGTCGGAATATGCTAACAAGAAGACTCGTGGGGCGTTCATTGCGGCGGTTTTCGCCATGCAAGGTGTCGGGATTATATTCGCCGGCTTAGTTTCCATGATTCTTTCGGCTATCTTTCTTAAGCTCTACCCAGCACCTACTTTCAAACAAGATCAAATCTTTTCTACTCAACCAGAAGCAGATTATCTATGGCGGATTGTGCTTATGTTTGGTGCCTTACCAGCTCTTCTAACATACTATTGGCGGATGAAGATGCCGGAAACCGGTCGTTACACCGCGATTATCCAAGGAAACGCGAAACAAGCGGCGGCCGATATGGGGCGAGTTCTCGAAATCAAACTAGAAGACGAATCGGATAAGGTTTCCCAATTCAAGGCGGCGAATCAGTACGAGTTACTATCACATGAGTTCTTTAGACGCCATGGGTATCATCTTATAGGTACAATGACCACATGGTTTTTATTGGATATTGCTTTCTACAGTCAAAACCTAACCCAAAAGGACATTTTCCCGGCCATGGGGCTCACCAATAAAGCTCCGGATGTGAACGCTATTAGAGAAATGTTTGAGACCTCACGTGCCATGTTCGTTGTTGCTTTGCTCGGTACATTCCCAGGGTATTGGTTCACCGTACTGTTCATAGAAAAGATTGGTCGGTTCATTATCCAACTAGTCGGATTCTTAATGATGTCCATCTTCATGCTGATTCTTGGCGTCAAATATGGTTACCTTAGGGACCATAATAAGTTCTTATTTGTCGTTCTTTATGGGTTAACCTTCTTTTTCGCCAACTTTGGCCCCAACAGTACGACCTTTGTGCTACCGGCTGAGCTGTTCCCGACCAGGGTGCGGTCCACTTGTCATGCGCTGAGTGCGGCGTCGGGGAAGGCCGGCGCCATGATCGGAGCTTTCGTGGTGCAAACATATACATTGGACGAGGATGTTAAGAAAATCAAGACCGCCATCATCGCTTTGTCCTTTACAAATTTGTTGGGATTTTGTTTCACATTCCTGGTCCCGGAAACCAAAGGTCGGTCTTTAGAAGAAATTTCAGGCGAGGATGGCGGCGGCGGCCAGAATGAGACTCAAATGGCCGCCACCAGATCGTTTGCCTTGCAAGGAAACGACAGATTTGAAGGGTGAATTATTTGCCTGCTTTGGTTACTTAAACTAGCTAGTTTAGAAGTGTGGAGGGAGAAAGATTAAAAGAACTGTTGAATAAAAGGCGAGAAACAATAGGTTTTCTGCCTGGGTTTTCGTTTGGTTTTTAACTAAATTAACTGTTGAATAAGACCTGCAACCGCTGTTATATATCCAGGTCAATACAGAGCACCCAACGGTAATTCCTCCTACTACCTTTATGTAAATGTTAAAGCCAAGATTTCATATATATTTAAGGGTAAACTACAAGCTTATTACTTAAAAGTATTATTTTTGTTTCGTTTTATTATCTAAATTTTATTTTTTCTAAAACCATATCTAAAATTAGTTCAAGTTTTATTTTACTATCCGCCATTAACAACTTAACGATGATGTTGGCTTGTCCTTATAAGATAATACCATGTCTTCATTGGAAAAATAAAAAAATGAAACTTGAACAGTTCTATTATTTTTTTTAACAACGGAATATCGAATTAAAACCTAAACTAAAAATTGAGAATGGTTTTAAAAAAAACAAAATTTAAGTATCAAAATGAAATAAAAGTAGTTATTTAAATATTAAAAATATAGTTTAAGGTTTATGGTTTATATTTAATTATCTGACAGACTAAGTATAACTAAATGATAATATATTAATTATGGGCTTCTAACATAAAAATTGTATGTAATGTTATCTTGATATGTATATTTTCAATTGATTCTCTTTAAATTTTAGCGAGATAATTTTAATCATAACTATATATACTAAGGAATATTAAAAGTTTTTTTAGTAATATTTTTGTATCTTCTTCTTTTTTTTGTTTGTTTAATCGAATATGACACCAATTTTAATATTGATTGTCGACCGTTAGTGATTATTATTTTTCTTATTTTTTATATTAACTCCTTTTTTTCTTAAGTTTTTTTTAATTTTAAATAATAATTTATGTACTTGTGACATGTTTTTCTATGTTCTTGTGACATGTTCCTTATAACTTTTGGTACTTCTTTTTGTATATCTTTGTGGTTATGTTGGTGTTCGCACAAAGATCCTCACAACATTTATTTTCTGATTGGTTTGTCGGTGGTCACGTTTTGTCAGATCCCCTCTTTAGTAAAAAGTTGTTTGCCGATATAATTAGAATTATGTATCAAAACAGTCTGCCAAATTGTTGGTTAGCTCACCACTCCTTTATCACTTGGTAAAGTGTCTAGACAAAAAGTTTTATGGAGATTACTAAGTTCTTTTGATGTTGGATGTCATTCTCAATAGAAGGTTTCATTTTTCTTCGTATATTTCGGTTTAATAATTTTATTTTATGTATGAGTTTTTTTGGTAATCGTTGTCCTCAATTTTCTCTTTAAGTGTGTTGTAATTTTGATTTCTTCCATTGTTTTTATTAATAAAATTCATTTGTCATTATTCAAAAAAATTAGTGAAATCAAATTTATTTAAAAATAAAGTAAGAATAAATAAAAAAATATTTCTATAGAAAATAATCTTAAAATATTATTAACTATAGTAATTACAACTACGTTTAAACAAACAAGCACTTTAAATGTAACTCCCACCAAAATTAAATTATTCTTAAATGACATTACATCCACATGGATAATGTGCTCATGAAAGACACGGGATAATAGTCTCTTACTAAATGTATAATCATTGAGTTTGTATTAATATATTATATAAATTCATGATCACTCCGAATTTTCTTTAACAATCAATGGTATTTGTGTTTCGACTTTGATGTGTTCTTATCGTTATTAGAATAAAAGATTATAAATTTATTATCATTAGTGATTTTTCTATTTCATCCATAATTAGCGGCTCATATGATATAATTTTTCATTCATATGTTAATAAAATTAGAGTTTATATACCGGATGATCTTTAATTTATTAGACATTTGATATGTGAGCATGTAATATTTTTTAGGATATCAAATTAATCATTTAATTGTTATTCAATGATCCATACTCAAATTATTTAAGTATCCGGTTAATATCCCAAAATCACATGCTATATTATGCGTACAAACTTAGGAATACATTAGAATTCCCACCACTAACACATAAGGAACCGTTTGCATGTTCATAATCTCAAAATTACTCTTAGATCTCTTACTTGTGTCTCTTTTAACAACAAAGGTGTCACTTGGTTACTCCCTTTGAACTTTTGTCATCGATTAAATTAATCTCAAAACCAAATGAGAAAATCTCTTGGTGAAATCGCTAATACCATTGATCAGAGTCATGTTCAAGCTCATAGATGAATATCATTAATTTGAATATTATTAGCTTTGTATCATCAGACATAAATTTTTTTATTATATTGTATAAATCGTTTTATCAATTTTAATATTGAGGAACACAATCTTGATATCTATTTGATACAACTTAAGATCAAATATGCTATTAAAGTCGCTAAAATCTTTTAAAAACTTTTAATGTAAAAGAAGAGAAATTCTCTTTGTAATTTGTTATAATATCGAAACGATAATCGGTAAATAAATAAATACAATTAAAAATAAAAATAAAGAATATCAAGATTTACATGAAAAACCCAAAAGGAAAAAATCATAGACAAATGAGAAGAATTCTACTAATATGAAGGAAGAAAACATAAGAGGGTTTCAGATAAAGAAAAGCTTGATATCTAACCCTTGTCCTTAGTATCTATTTATAAGGATATATATTTGATTAGAAAGGAAACAAAATAAAGCAGAAATCTACTTTAATAAAGTTTTATACTTTTAATTAAACTAAGTTTCCTACTTTCCTAAATTTATATATTAATTAATTTAGCCTATTTTGTATTTGAGAAAAACTCTAACAAATCTCCATCTTGACGCGAATTCTGAAAATGTGAAGGTTTCTAGACAAAATACCTAAATTCGATGAGGCGCCCAAACTCAACAAAAACAATTTTCATTTCAACGAACAAGTTCTCAACATCTTCTATAACACCCCTAAAAGGGGTAATCTTCATTAATGGATATCGACTGAATCAAGCTTTGTCTAATCTTGGATTTAGTCTTCACATTGACATGGTTATCGTAAGTGTCAACTTTGCTCACAAATGTATCACCACAAGCAGTTTCATGACAACACGATCCTAGTCATCAATGATAATTATATCTTCAAATTCGTCATGTCCATGAAATTGAACTCTTTTCTGCTTCACATAACAGTTATGTCAATGGCTATCTTGTTCAATAAAAATTCTTCTTTTGCCAGCAATAATGTTTTTACAAGTAACATTATCTAAAATTGTTGAACCTTGTAGAACATAAAACTTGGTAGTCTTTTTTTGCCTTTTCATCACAACAATAAAACCCTTTTAAATTTTCATAGCTCCACCTTCACTAGAGAATTTGTACCCTTTTGAATCTAGATTACCTATTGAAATTAAATTTCTGCTCAAATATGTAACATGTCTCACATTACCAAGTGTTCAAACAATCCCATAGAACATCTTAATTTTGATTGTGTTAGTACATGCGACTTTACAAATGACATTATTTCTTAAAAATATATATACAACCTTATACGTCACAAACCAGTCACGATTATAACTCATATGAAAACCGCTACTATAGCTAAGTATCCACTCATCAATTGTTATAAAGTTGTTTCCAGTTGCAACAAAGAGTTCTCTATCATCACAATCCTCCAATGCATTGGCCTCACGAGATTTTCTAGATTTATGCTATTTAGCTTCTCTTTTGATTTTATTTTGTAACCTATAGCACTCCATTTTAATGTGACCTTCATTTTTCAGTAGTGACAAGTTTTACCTCAGTTAGAACATTTTGATTTGTTATTTCCTTTACTTCCAAAAGAACGCTCGTCTTTTCTTTCACAGTCTGAACTAGTCGATTTATGCACCATGAGATCCTCTACTTGAGGCTCGGAACCAGATACACGATACTTCATATTGTCAAACGAGTGTAAGATATTGTACACTTCTTTAAGAGTGAGTGTATCACGATTGTACATGATCGTGTCTCTAAAAGATGAGTAGGAAAGAGACAACGAACATAGGAGGATCAATCCTAATTCTTCTTGGTCATACTTCACTTCTAAAGTCTCTAGATCAGAGACTGTTTCCTTGAATGCGATCAGTTGCTCTTCATGAGATGGACCTTCCGCCAACTTGAGCGAACAAAGATGCTTCTTTAAGTGGAACTTGCTTGTCAACGATTGTCACACCCCAATTTAGGGGTTAAAATTTTGCATGATATTTACAGAAGTAGTTTGATTAAAATGTTGGGTTAACAAAGAATTTTGAAAAATTTGAGGATTTTATGTATACTTTTGTATTCTTTGGTTTTAGTTTATTCTAGAATTCACATGATTTATCTAGATTCTGTTTGGTACGAAATTGTTATTATTATTATTATATGAAAAAAATGGTAAACTACATATCTGAAAGATTTGTTTTAGTGTAACAATGTAAGGATTGGTTTTAAAACAATTGTTGGAGTAGGTAGAACGGACGAATTATTAGGTGAGTGGATTAAATGAATGATAATGGTATTGCGTGGAAACTATTGGTTCCAGCTTTCATTTTCAAACTCCAAAAAGAGTTTTTGAAAAGTTGCATTATCATTGTACCCTATTTTCCTCCTCTTTCTCTTCCTTTCCCTCAAACCAAACGCTCTGTATCACTCCACTGGCCCCATGAACATCCTTTAAAGCTTCGGCTTCAGAGTTAACACCAAGCTCAACCCATAAGTTATGAGGTATGTCATCGCTAAAGGTCCAGATGACGACATCTCTACTCTTGACCAGCAGTTGCTCAGTTAGGTGCTGGGTGCTTTTGAGGCGTTGAATTGGAGTTTCAAAGGGTTCTGGGTGTGACCAAAATAGAGGTCGGGTATACCTAAGGGTTCATGAATAATCCGAGTTACGTGTTTTCTGGGACTACCAACCATAATGATGTTGTGAGGTTTCAGTATGACCCTAAAGAGTGCATCTTTGACACTTTGCTTGATGTC